TTTACGAGGAAAGAGAATTCGCTTTGTATGTTTCTTCCATATCTAACGAGCTGAAAATCCCAGTGCGGTAAGTTAATAGCAACTTGTGTTTCTTGATATCATGTTTTTGATGTCCACTGTAAAAAAACCTTCACGTTTGTGTTCTTTTGTTATGCAGATACTTGAAAGAAGATAAACCTCATGGTTCAGCTGGTGCTCTTTATTACTTTCGGGATAGAATCATGGAGGAAAAACCGGTTTGATCTCTAATAAAATCCCAAATCTTTGTTTGTTGTTTCACTCACTCATTTGTTTTGTTGATTCAGCTCCTTATTTCTCTTGGGTTTTGTGGTTGTTTTTTAAACAGTCACATGTTTTCCTCCTAAACTGCGATGTTTGCTGTTCTTTCCCTCTTCAGGACATATTGGGTAATCTTGCTTTTAAAATCTTAAATCTGTTTCCTCACCCTCCTTTTCTTACTTTGATGTAACTTAAAAACATTTTTTTCAGACGCACATAGAGGATATGGTGGGGTTGGAACTATGCTAGTAATCAAGGTTCGATGTCCTTGATCATTTTTTTGTTCATAGATATTATAGAAGAAACAGATATAAAGATCGAGGAATCATAAATTTCGTTTTTCTTGATTTCAGGTTTCTGCAGAAGCAGCGAGCCAATTTGGAGAGTTGATAGCTGATCCTGATACTAAAGAACTCCTGCATTATACAGAGAAACCCGAGACTTTTGTAAATCTCTGCTAAAGTTTCCTGTTTTCTTATTGATCCTTCACTGGCTCTGGACTTTGCTGAGCTTATAAAGATTTTCATTCGATGCAGGTGAGTGACTTGATAAACTGTGGTGTCTATGTGTTTACCTCAGATATCTTCAAAGCCATTGAAGGCGTATATAGCCAAATGAGAGATACGTGTGAGTTTTTCATTTATTGGTCTTATCTCAGAGACTTTCATTGCTTTGGATTAATAGTTTTCTTCATTTTGTAACCAACTTGACTTCATTCTAAAAATTTGGCAGCTAGCAACTACCAGATTTCGAGCTTTGATCACTTCAGATCCGCTACAAGGTCTGTTCCTGCGGATTTTGTGAGACTAGATCAAGATATATTGTCACCACTTGCTGGAAAGAAGCAACTATACACATATGAGAATAAGGACTTTTGGGAACAGATCAAGACTCCAGAGTAATTGTATTATAAGTTTGCTAATAAGTTGTTTTGCTTCAAACTCTCTCTTTTAACAAATTGCTTAAAACACAGGAAGTCTTTGAAATGCTCGGAGTTATATCTTTCTCAATTCCGGGAAACATCTCCTCATCTTTTGGCTTCAGGAGATGGTACTAACAAGAAACCGATGATAGTTGGTGATGTTTATATTCACCCATCCGTAAAACTACATCCAACCGCAAAGGTAACTTTTTTTTAAACTCTCATGAAAATCTACTTTACCATCTCATGTAAAATTTGCAAATGGCACACTCTCTCAAATCTCAAATTTTCTTGGAACAAGATTGGTCCAAACGTGTCAATCTCAGCAAACGTTCGTGTTGGACCTGGTGTAAGGCTTATAAGCTGCATAATCTTGGACGATGTTGAAATCAAGGTAAATGTAAATGAGTTTTGCAATGTTCCTTATGGTTTACAAATCCAAAAAAAGATGCATGTTTTGATGTTTTTTAATCTGGTTTAAATGCAGGAAAATGCTGTTGTTATAAACTCGATCATCGGTTGGAAATCTTCGATAGGTAGATGGTCAAGAGTTCAAGCTAGTGGAGACGACAATGAGAGGCTTGGGATCACCATTCTTGGTAATTTCACTGTCTCTTTGTTTTTCAAGAAATGGTTTGTTTGGTTTTTTTTCTGAATCATTTTGTTGCTTCTGCAGGTGAGGCTGTGACAGTAGAAGATGAAGTTACAGTCATAGGAAGCATTGTTCTTCAGAATAAGACTCTTAATGTCAGTGTTCAAGACGATATTATCTTATGAGTTAATCGCAATGATTATAGTTTGGATTTAGGTCTTTATTTTTTATATAATCCCAACACAAGAAGAATTACAGAAACTGAGACCGACTTGCATTGAACTCACAGGCTTACGTTTTAATGGAACCCTCATTGTACTTTTTAGCTCTGTTTCTTCTTCTTCCTCTAGAAAAAAAAAAAGAATTAATTATTTTACCTTTTGGTTGTCTTATGTGGGCCTAAGTTGGGCTTTTGTCTTCTGTGGGCCTAAGTTGGGCTTGAAATTAAATTATCAGGAAATACAGTTAAAGGTGGCATAAAAGCCATATGAAATTGCCACTTCATTTATTTTTTCACGCATAACTCTCGTCGTTCGTTTCTCTGCAACAACTCTAGGGTTTATCGATTTTGCAAAGAGGAAGAGAGCGATCTTCAAATCGACTTTAATGGCGGACGAAGATTACAACGAAGTCGATGATTTGGGGTAATTCCCTCTTTCTATCTCACTCTCGTGTTTCCCGTGTCTGTATCTGCGCTCGATTTCAAAGATTTCTAATTTCTTCTCGACGAATTGAGAGAAATTAGATTGGTTATTCACTAGATTGAAAGCTTTTCCATGGGCTTCTTTGTTGAACTTTTGATTCAATTTATAAAAGAAATGTTTTTTTCCGGCAGAGAGTATTGATTCCGATAAATTTGAATGTGGAAACCCTAATTTCGTGGTCGGTTAATACAGAAAGAGCTGATTTTGCTAGTTTATATAACTTCTCTTTTAAATTCATCCATCAAATACTTTCTTTGCTGTCTTGTAAACATGTTTTTCCTTTCTCCTGGAATGAGTACATGAACTTATATGAAACTTGCAAGACCGTATATTGAAGCTGTTTTGTTGCTATGGTTAAGCCATATAGCTGATGTTGTTTCAATTGGTTTTGCTGCTGCAGATATGATGATGAGCCAGTGGAGCCTGAAATTGAAGTAAGTTCATCTCCTTCTTTGTAGAAGAAAAGACATGGATGTTGCTTTATTACAAGTTGCTGTGTCCTGATCAGTTTTTTTTGTGGTGCAGGAAGGAGTAGAGGAAGATGTTGATATGAAGGAGAACGAGGATCTCAATGGTGAGCCTCTTGAGACAGAAGATAAGGTCGAAACAGAAGCTGTACAACGTCCTCGTAAGACCTCCAAGTTTATGACCAAGTATGAGCGTGCACGTATCCTTGGTACTCGCGCTCTGCAAATTAGGTATGGTCTCTTAAGCTTGTCAATAATTGTTCTTCATATATCATCTCAATGATTATATGATAAGGATGCTTAATTCTTTAATTTTAATACTTTTACTGGTACTAGCTAATTTATCTTCATTTGTTATGAACTTGATGATGTTACTCAAGTATACTGAGAAAAATCGTTCTTATATATCGTATAATCATTGAGATGGCTCGAAATGTTTGATTCTTATACTGGAACTCGCTTATTCTTTCATCATATGTCTTAACTTTGTCATCGTGTGCTTTAAAACTTATGAGAGTACTTGATTCAACCGAGAACACACTTTGTCCTGTTTCATCTACTGTTAAGCTGGCTCGAGAAGTATAATTTATTTTGTTTTTGGCTGATACAGCATGAATGCTCCTGTCATGGTCGAGCTAGAGGGCGAGACTGATCCTCTTGAGGTGGCTACTGCTTTTACTTGCATTCACTTTTCCTTTTCTTCTTGTTGTTTCTGGACATTTGAGCTAACTCTTATGATATTGGCTTTTAAGATTGCGATGAAGGAGCTTAGGCAAAGGAAGATACCATTCACTATCAGACGATATCTGCCTGATGGGAGGTGAGTTTGCGTTACTCGTATCAAACTTCTCATACAGAATACATTGATTCTCGTCACTCACTTTATCTGTTCTTTAATTGTGTCTTCTTATGAATCTGAATCAGTTTTGAGGAATGGGCAGTTGATGAATTGATCGTTGAAGACTCGTGGAAGCGTCAAGTTGGTGGTGATTGATAAGCGGATGATAAAAGTTTCTGAGATTTTTAGCTATATGTGCTACTAAATGTAAACTTAAAACGTTTTGAATCTGAAACACCAAAAACTGATGGAAGGAAGCTTTTGTGTTAAACTTGAAAATGTTTTTTGTTTTTCCTTATCCGAAAAAACAACATTTTTATGTTTATAAGAGTAGAATTTCCTTGAATACCTGTTTAATATCAACACAAAAAAATTACATTATAAACCAATGGATGATGTCTTGATAAAACCATTGTGCAAGTGAACATTTTTAATAGATTTGAATTCATCGAGAGCAACAGAGTTGCTCAAAGTAAAAACTTTTTTATTCATTTAGTTAGGTTAGTTTTTCTATTTGATTTCTGTTTAATTCGTTTAAACAAGCTGAAATTTTGTAACCCTAGTCTAATTTTGGACAATCCATCAATCATCATTTGAAACCTTTAGAAGGTGAAAACTCCAGTGCGCATGGCTCCTCTCAAACTAAATTGTCAGTGGAAGAAATCTGCAGAGTGTATAAAGCAATATTAGAGCAGGTAAGCTCCATGAGACTCGGACAATATACTCTTAAGTTGTTCCTTTGTTCACAAATCGCCCTATCTCATAACTTGTTTCTGTTTCAATGGATCAAACTTCTCAGTAACCTTCAACATCCAAACATTTGTGCAGACTTTCTAAAATTATGTTTCCAGAGAAATCCAGCTCAGCGACCAACCGCATCTATGTTACTAGAACACCAGTTTCTAAAGAACTCTCTGCAATCAACCTCACAATACACAACAGCGATGTCTTAAATTGCTCTCAGTTAATTTAATGGTTCATGTACATAGTAGTAGCTGAGGTTGGTAATGTACATAAAGAGATTCAGATTTGTACTAATCAGAATCACTTTTTAAGAAAAGTTTTCTTGAACAATGTTTAACTTTAGGAAAACAGTGTACAGTAATGTTGTTTCCATTTTTTTAAAGTTATTTTTTCAAAATTTGCTTCCGGTTTAATTCGGTTCACCTAAACCCAACGATTAAGTTTTGGTTAGACCCACCGAATCACAAAATATCTCTTATTCAGAAATTCTCCCGGCGACTCAGCAGAGGAGTCAAGCTTCTGCTTCAACGATGGCGGATCACCACCACCACCACCACCACCATCATCATCATCATCAACAACATCGACCAAATCGTCTTTCCGTTCCTCAACGAACCACCGCAACAGTCGGAAGATCTTACCCTGCTTTCCCTTACACTCCGACTCCAACCCCTTCCAAAACCCGTCTCAGATCGATCCATGGAACCACTAAATCTTCAATTTCATTTCTTTTCCTCATCCTCTTCTCCTTGCGATCTCTCTACTCTCTCTTACCTTTCCTTCGCTCTTCTCCTTCATTCTCCCTGTTCCCTTTCTCATTCCTCGTCTCTCTCCTCTCTTTCGTTTTTTCTCTTGCTTTCACCCTCTTCTCTTCGTTTTCTCCCTCCAAAAAAGACCCATTTCTCCGGCAGAGTCGTGCCGTTTTCTCGATTTCGTCTCTCTCCTCGTCTCAAATCAAGCTCATACTCGCTAAATCGGGGTTTCTAGCTGTTGTTTTCCTCCTCCGATTCCAGGCTCTCCGTTACTGCGGCGCAGCAGCTATGATCTTAGCCGAGCTCTCCGGTACAGTCTCCGCCAGAGTTCTATCCGAGTCTCGGAATCGATTTTCCGGCGATAATGGCGGAATTGGATCATCTAAGGTTCGTGGGTTTTGCATCTTGTTCGCTGGGTTGTTGCTGTTATCAATCAGCTGGGATCGTGTTGATTGTTTCCCTTTCTCTTCATCATCTGTCGAAAATTGGGGTTTTTGGATATACCCTAAAGAGAATTGCTTGAGAATATGGCCTATGTTGCTTCCATTTCTATCTGGGTTTTTGGGTTGCTATGAGAAAGTCTCCATGAATTGGGTCGAGATCAAGCAGCTTGATCAGAAACGAGTTCGATTGCTCTCCTTGTTTCTAACCACTGTGTTGTTGTTCCCACTTGCTATCTGGAGTTTCCTCTTCTCTGGAAGTGATGAAGTTGGTGTCTCTATTGGGAATCTGGGTTGGCCTTTAGCTAACACTGTTGTATTTGGAGTGCTGTTGACGGAGAATTACAACGAAGATAAGTTTTCGAGCTCGAAGAAAGACTCTGAGAGGGAGTTTCTGGTCACGTTTCTATGCACCATAGTATTGGAACTCTTCTACTTCCCTGAGCTTTCTCTTTGGGGATTGTTGTTGTGTGGTTTGTTGCTTTACGTCGCCGTCAGAGAATTGGACTCTGTGTATTCAGATTATCAAGAGATTGGTATGGAATCGCCTGAGTCGTTTACCACCATGTTTATGAAGCCTATCCGTCACATTTTGAGCGAGAAGAAGTCAAGGAAGATCGCTTTGTTTCTTTTGATCAACACGGCGTATATGGTTGTAGAGTTTGTGGCTGGTTTCATGAGCAATAGTCTTGGATTGATCTCAGACGCTTGTCACATGTTGTTTGATTGTGCTGCTTTGGCGATTGGTCTCTATGCGTCTTATATCTCTCGTCTTCCTGCAAACCATCAGTTCAACTATGGCCGAGGTAGATTCGAGGTGCTTTCGGGTTATGTCAACGCGGTGTTCCTCGTTCTTGTTGGAGCTCTGATTGTGCTCGAGTCGATAGAGAGAATCTTGGATCCGCAGGAGATTTCTACAAACAGTCTTTTGGTTGTTTCCGTTGGTGGGCTTCTTGTGAATGTTGTCGGGTTGATCTTCTTCCATGAGGAGCATCATCATGCTCATGGTGGATCCGGTTGCTCGCATTCTCATTCTCACTCGCACCAGTCCCATAGCCATAAACATGAGGAGCATCATGAGCATACTGATCATCATCATTCCCATAACCTTAAACATGAGGAGCATCATGCATGCAACCACGAGCATGACCATGACCATCATCTTCATGCCCACAACCATAAACACGAGGAGCATCATGAAAGCAACCACAGCCACGGGCATGACCATCATCATCATTCTGACCACAAAGCTGCAAAAGGAGAAAACAAGGAGCATCGACACATTGACCATAACATGGAAGGAATCTTCCTTCATGTTTTAGCAGACACAATGGGGAGCGTTGGAGTTGTGATATCGACACTCTTGATCAAATACAAGGGCTGGTTAGTTGCAGATCCAGCAAGCTCAATCTTCATTTCCATCCTCATCATCGCTTCAGTCATTCCTTTACTCAGAAACTCTGCAGAGGTTCTACTGCAAAGAGTCCCCAAGGCTCATGAGCATGACCTGAGAGATACCATGAGGAACATCCTCAAGACTAAAGGGGTTCGCAGTATCCAGAGGCTACATGTATGGAGCTTCACAAACTCAGACGTGGTGGCTACTCTCCATCTCCTTGTATCAGCTGATTTAGACAAGAAGGATACTAAGTTGCAAGTCTCGCGTTTGTTAGAAGATGCAGGAGTAAAGGATTTGACTTTGCAGGTGGAATCTGTTAATTCATAGCAATTGATATAGTTTTGAGTGCTGTCACTGAACACATAAAAGAATCTGAAACTGTTTTCAGTGTTTTTAGATAATTTGTTTCATTGAAGTTTTATGAGGTTTCGTTATAGAAAGATATACATATATGGGATATGGCTGTGCATACATCTATGAATAATGTTCGGAAAAAAGTTATTATATTGAAAACTTGAAACAAAATCTCTACAAATGCATCTGCTTTGCAGTTAAATTCATATAGTCGAAATACAGAACATAAGGTAATTGCTTCTAACTCTTCTTTGTACTCAGAGAAATCAAGACGCATAAACAGCTTCAATCTCTGTGGTCAGCTACTTCATAAGGTAATTGCTTCTAACTCTTGTTTGTACTCAGAGAAATCTAGCTGATAGGAATGATGTGGATAGATGGGTAGATGTCTGAAGTAGACTGCTCTCATCAAACTGAAGATCATAGCTTGAAAACACATCTGAGAGATCTTGAGAGAAGCTACTGTTACCGAACATAATACCATAAGGATCCTGAAAGTCAGAACAGAGGTCATCTGAAACTGTGTTTGAAAGACAAGGATCGAGAACATTGCTGTTGATAGTATCACTCGTACACAAGCTCTGATCAAAACCATACGGCTCGCTGTGTCAAGTCATTCAACCTGAAGTTATTAACAGATTCTTGTAACTCCGATGGCAACGCTGCCAAATCTTGCGTGTTTGAGAAGCAAGGATGTTGAAAGTTGTGGCTGTTGGTAGTATCACTCATGCACATGCTCTGATCATAACCATAAAGCTCTTGAGGCATCAACTCATTCATCCCGCAGTTATTCACAGACTCCTGTACTGGTACCGCTTGTGTGTTTGAGACGCAAGGACCTTGAAAGTTGTTGCTGTTGGTAGTATCACCCATACAGATGTTCTGATCATAACCACAAAGCTCTTGAGGCATCAACTGATTCGAGCCGTAGTTATTCACAGATTCTTGTGTGTTTGAGTCGCAAGGAAGTTGGAAGTTGTTGCTGTTGATGTAACCCATAGATATATTCTGACCACAACCATTAACCTCTTGATGCATCAAGTAATCATCTGTGAAATTGGTGAAATTTGATGCAGAGAGTGGGATTTGAGAGAGAGTAGCATCTTCGTGGTTATACATAACTAGCGAGAACTTGCTAGGGTTCAAGGATTGGGTCTGATGAAGGTTCAGAGAGGAAGGGTTCAAGGATTGGGTCTGTTGATGGTTGAGAGAGGATGGTGCTAAACCCTTATGATCTTCCAACTTTGCCTTTGTCTGTTTCCGTGCCTCGAGAAAACGACGCCTTTCTTGCAAGATGGAGCGCTTTCGTAGCAAGGACTCCATCAGTTGGGAGATATGGTCGGGAGAGTGGTGATCAGAGAGTGGATACATTAGTTGATTCGAGTTCGTCGTCCTCGGCTTCTTCGTCAGATTCGTCGCCTTGGTCTTGTTCTTGTTCTTGTTGAGGAACCCATAAAGATTGACGCTTTTCTTGCGCCTCTTGGCGTCGTCGAGACGACTATACCGAAGAGCCAAGTCTCTCACTTTCTGTCGATCCTTAGGCCATGTCTGTAATTCTCCGTCTGGTCCGTAATGGATGACGCAGGCTTCGATATCGCAGAGAGTCGTAAGCTCGGAAGCTTTCTTGAACACGGTCCGGAGCCTGTTGGCCAAACTCGTTGCAGCGAGGGAACTAGAACAACAAGAAGAAGACGAATTGGAACACGAGGAAGAAGGCGGTGATCGCATTGTTGATTTTGTTGTTGTTGATTTCCCAAACACGCTCTGGGTTTTCGATTTTCTCGTTCTCGCGCACGAAGTAGAAAACACGAAGAAGAAGAAGAATGAAACTGAGAGAGAGACTGTGTGACCTAGGTCTACTTATAGATTTGTCTATTTTTATAGACCCCAACGGTCAAAAAAATGCGTTTGTGTGTGTTTTTAGATTCGATTTCCATTTTTTGCTTAGTTTTTTAATTTCCTTAATTTTACCCATAATTGATCCGTTGAGGACGGTTAGAAAAAGGAAATATTTACTTGAGAGATACGTTTCCGTATTTTTACACTCGCTTCATTTATGAGAGTAATTAATGACAGGTAAGTTCGTTCATGTGTACTAGATTTGATTTGATTTGATTAGATTTGATTTTGTAATAGATTTACTTTGATTTCCTTAATTTTACCGTCGCTAACTAACTACACAACGAGTATACTCGGGATTGGGTAGAAAAATCGTTGTACCGGCTTAATTCAGGGGTTCGTAGTACCGGCTAAATTCAGCCAATAACCGGAAGGAAAATTTTGATTTCGAGAACCCTAAATTGAATCTCCTCCCGGTGTCGATATCTGAATTTACCGATCGGATCTGTTTGTTATGGCGACGAAGCGATTGTCGCTCCGTAAATTCGATCAGCTCTTTTCCAGATGAAATTCTCGCTCAGATCTTATATTTTCTTCCTAACAAACAAGCTGTTTCCACCTACTCCTATGAGATCCAACATTATATGTGCGGTATTTTTCTTCCTTAACTTCCTTCACTTGGTCGAATGGTAGAAACAACAATAATGGTGACATGATCGGATACGCGTGTAATGTTGGCTAATGATGGATAAGCAGTAGACGTTGTGGCGACGGACTTAGTGTCTGTATATCTTTCTAGACCCGACCTATCTCAGAGTTTGTAGCAATATAGTGCAAGGTAGCAGGCGTTACTTCATTCTTGATGAGATCATTCATGGAACTATTGCTGCCAAACACATCTTTACAACTTCGCAACTCACGGACATTGTGACCAAAGCACTTGGACGTAAAAAATTCAAACATTTCTTGGTAAGCTGGGTGTTTGTAACTTACACACACCATTTTGAAAGGGAGTATTGAGCCTATTAAGCTGTCATTCTAGGTTAGATAATGTAACCTAGATAATCTTGTATATACTAAGACACTGCCTTAATTTGTACTGTGTTCAATAAGAAAACTCTTACTAATAAGGTTTCTAGATATATAGGTGGAGACCTAGATAATTGTTGCATACCAAAAACAATAAAGTCAAATCAGTTAAGCTAAATTGTAGTTCTAAAACTTATTTTTTTTTTGTTATTCACAAAATCATTAACTAAAACTTTAAAATCATGAATGAAAACTATTAAAAAACATAAGACAATAATTAATAAATAAAAAAGCAAAAAATAATAATTTTACTTTAATTGTCTCTAATTGTTGGAGAAACACTGAAAATCTTTGTATTAAAAACTTTTTAATGTTTTGATCAACAAGTATAAAGAAGAATTATAAGGTTTAATTTTTTTCTTTATATTCTTTAGTTTTTGGATTATTTCTTCTAATAACAGTTTAATTTATTGTTGTTAACTTCTCTTTTATAGAATTATATATTTATAGGCCCATGCCCATATTTGAAATTAATAAAATATAAATTAATAATAAAAGTAGATTATAAAAAAATTTAAAAAAATTTGATGCTCAATGATTTAAAAAAAGGTGCTGTTTTAAACCAATGTTTCTTTATCTAGACATAGGGAATATAGATGTCAATTTGGACCAAAGCCCGAAGCCCAGCTTGGCCTGGCCCAGAGGGGAAGAGGAGAACGTGCTTGTGACTTATCCCGGAGGGGAAGAGGTCGGGAAGTTATCAGTAAGAGAAAGCCTGCGAGTCGGCGACATCAATTCCTATTGTGCTTGAGTGGCAAGCGTATCCTAGTGAGGAGCACCCTGGTTTGCTGCATGGCCCTTTGGTAGGGACTGGCGGGAAAGAACCGGAGGTCTGAGAGGCCTGAGCCCTAAGATCCCAAGGGGGTCCTGCCCCGGGGGGGCGAATAAGTCCGCAGGGGAGCATACTCAGGGTGTGCGTGGTCGGCGGAGGGAGCTGGCACAAGGGGAGCCACGGGGGCTTGTTAGACCGGAGTCCTGGATTTCTTGAGGAATGGTGTCCTGCAGGACAGGCGAGTCCTTGGGGGAGCATGCCAAGAAAAAAGGATCCGAGGAAGATTATAGACACTACCGAGGAGAAGAAATATTCGCGCGAGCAGGAAATCAAGTGATCGAGTAAGCAAGAGGTTAGGCAATCAAGAAATCAAGCGATCATGAAAGCAAGAAATCAAGCAATAAAAAAATCAAGCGATCAAGCAAGCAAGAAATCAAGAAATCATCAGGCACGCAAGAAATCAAGCAATCAACATATCAAGCAATCAGGCAAGCAAGAAATTAAGCAATTAAAAAATCAAGCGATCAGGCAAGCAAGAAATCAAGCAATCAAGAAATCAAGCAATCAGACACGCGAGCTAGGAAATCCTTAGCGGCCGGTGCTTTGTTAGGGGCGGTCGCATTTCGGCCACGATCATGGGTACCGTAAAACCCATCGCAGGGTTCGCGCGGCCCAGACGGTTACGTTTGACCCATGGGCGTGGCTATGCCCCATCCCGGGGATAGCTCCTCCTAGGCGGCGTACTTGCGGTTATCGTGTAGAGGTACGAAGTTCATACCCTCGCGATTGTTTGTCAATTGATCTTCAGAAGATCGGTGGTTTTCTTTCGAGTAATCCTGCGCAAATCTCCAGGATCTAGCGAGGGCGATCCACATGGCGAGTCTCTGGTGGTTCGAACCGCAGTGCGTCACCTTCTGCAGCGTGCGCCACTCCCCCGAGGACCGCCGATCGTCTTTTCTGTTGTGGCTGGCTCCTTTTCTCTCTCTTCATATTAAATGTGTGACACTTCCCACGCACGGCTCGAGAGACTAATTATTTCTTTACAGACTTTTGGCTTTTCCCGAACGACGTGATTCCTCTCGTGTGCCTCTTCGGTTTCTTCTTCCTCTATAAAATCGAGATTCTCGTAGTTTCACAGATTTATCCCATTTTTGGACCAAATCTCAGAACTTTCTTTCTTCGAATCGCTTCTTTTTTTTCCTAGCACACACCTTTCTTCTCGTTCAATCAAGATGTCCGCCTCTAGCTTGTCGTATGGCGCGTGGCGTGCTCATCACTCCTGGACCGATGGTGAGGTGCAGGACACCACCGGAATGTCGTCGGAGCCGGTTACAGCAGACTTTCCTTGGGGCAAGGGCGAGGCCGAGGAAATTGCCAGGGTTCCTTCGGCGTCCAACCCCGCGGATCGCCCTCCTTCTACTTGCAATCTGGACTCTCTGGAGAGAGTTCTCTTGGCCAACCTCCCTTAATTCTCCAGGCTCAACGCCATTTTTCCCGGTGAATGGGGCCGGGCAGACTGGCCTCTGCGGTGCTGCATCGCGATCCACAACGACTACTTTCTCTACGGCTTCCAAGGCAGCCTCCCTTGGATGGTGGTCAATTTATGCCGGTTCACCGGTATCTGCCCCAGCCAACTTCACCCTTCTGCCTTGGGGCTCCTCTGCGCTTTCCAAGTCCTCTTGGACTTGTCCGGGGTCCGGGTCCGTGGCTCCATGGTGCTGCTATCTTACCAGCTCCAGAGCCTGACCGTCGATGCCTTCCGCTATACCTTGCATACCCGGGACGGGTGCACTGCCCCCATACTGGGTGACCGCTCCGGGAGTCACGACTGGAGGGAACGGTACATCTACTGGACGGTGCTGCCGGAAGTCAACGTCCACCTTACCTGGATGCCGAGGGGTAAGATTCTTCTACTACCGCTGTCCTTCTTTCCTTCGGGCTTGGTTTGTCGGCCATCTTCTAACTGCCGTCTTGTCTTCTCTTTTTTCAGGCTTCGGACGCCGACCGATTCTGAGCGGGTCGATCTACACAGCCTGCTCGGGATCCCTGAGCGGTTCTGATCGTTCGAATTCATGCTCTCTCTACTGAGCATCAGGGCAAGCTCGCTCGTCCTCCCGTCTGGAATGGTCCCAGACGTCCCAGGTAATGACTTTGACTCTTATGTCCTTGGCCTTGCGCTGGTCCCTTGGTCTTTACCTGCGAATCTTGTCTTTGCAGGTTCCCAGAGTCGGATCGAGGAGATCTGGGAGGATAACACCCCTGAAGGCCGTCTGCCCCCAGCGAGGTTTCTGCGGGCCGCGTGGAGGACGCTTGTTCAAACGCCACGCCGGAGGCCCCAATCAGACTCTCCCGAGAGGGAAGCCTCATCCCGACCGGCTTCCCGAGACCCTCTTCAGCTCTTCCCGCTCACTACTCCTCTGAGTCAGCTTCAACTGCCAGTGGTGGGGCTCCCACAGATTCCAACGCTCCGAAGTATTTGGGGACCATCGAGAGATTCAGGGCCACGCGAGCCGCTACTCTGGTCCCTGATGCCCCGGTCTCGCCGAAGGCGATGAGCGTCTCTTCGGAGTCGGAGCCGATGTTCGTCTCTCCCCGTCCAACCGCCCGCTCAACCCGCAAGCTCACCAGCTGGCGGCTGACTGCCTCGGAGATCTCCCAGTCGCTGGACGCAGTAAGCTAACTTCTCGGGATGTCTTCCTTTGCTTTTCCAGTTCTTTACCTGTTCTTACTGGTGCCTTTCGTCTTTTGACAGAGTCAGCGCTCGCTCGAGAAGCTGAAGCACGATCTTCACATGACTGAATATCGCGAGCGCGGCCTTGCTGATAGGACTAGCGCGCATGAGGCCGAGCTCTTGGTGATCCGGGACCAGCTCACCGAGGCCCAGACTTCCGCTAGTGGAGAGGATCTTAGCGCGGAGATAGAGCACCTGTCCTTGGTGCTTTCCAGCAGCCAACTGGATCTGGAAGCGCGTAACTTGGAAGTGGAAATGCTCCACCAAATCCTTACGGTGTACCGGGGGTTCGCTCCAGGGGCCGAGGTGGACTTGACGTTGATGGCGGCTGAGGCTTTCTCGACGATCTAGACCGCGATTTACATGCTGAGGCGGGAGCTTGAGGAAGAGCGGAAGTGCGGCAGGTCGCGAGGACCGG